TGGGGGACATAAGGTAGTCATTGCAGTGGTGTATAACCTGCCACAGAATTGCAGGAGGCCAAGAGAAGATCATGAAGAGAGCAACAGAGAAATGGTGGACACATTAGCTGTGGTGGCCAGAAGAGCTCACACGAGTAGAGCAAAGTTACTAGTTATGGGCGATTTCAATCACAAGGAGATTGATAGGGAAAACTTAGAGCCACATGGGGGTCCCAAAACATGGAGAGCCAAGATGATGGATGTGGTACTGGAAAACCTCATTAATATGATTTGGGACACTACCAGAGAGAGAGAGAGAGAGAGTAGAGGATGAACCGGCAAGACTGGACTTCGTGTTCACCCTGAGTAGCTCGGACATTGAGGACATCACATACGAAAGACCCCTAGGAGCTTGTGATCACGTGGTTCTGAGCTTTGAGTAGATAGTGGAGTGACAAGTGGAGAGGGTAACAGCAGTAGGATGGGAAAAACCAAACTATAAAAGGGGAGGACTACACAAGCATGAAGAATTTTCTGCAGGATGTTCAGTGGCAAAGAGAATAGGTATGAAAAGTCAGTAAACGAATGATGGACTGCATAACAACCAAATGCAAGGAGGCAGAGGAAGGGTTTGTTCCCAAGGGCAACACAAATAATGGAAAGACCAGAACGAGCCCTTGGTTTACCCAGAGATGTAGGAAGGCAAAAATTAAATGCACTAGAGAATGGAAAATGTACAGAAAACAAAGGACCCAGGAAAATAAAGAGAATAGTCGAAGAGCCAGAAATGAGTATGAACAGATAAGGAGGGAGGCCCAGGGACAGTACAAAACGACATAGCATCAAAAGTCAAGTCTGACTCTAAGTTGTTGTATAGCCATATCAGGAGGAAGACAACAGCAAGGACCAGGCAATCAGGCTGAGGAAAGAAGGTGGGGAGCTCAAAAGAAACTACCAAAAAGTATGTGAAGAGCTCAACATGAGATTTAAGGAAGTATTTACAGTGGAGACAGAAAGGACTCTGGGAAGTCAGAACAGGGGGGTACATCAAAACGAGATATACCAACTAGTGTTGGATGAAATACACTCATCCGAGGAGGAGGTGAAGAAGCTGCTAAGTGACCTTGATACCTCAAAGGTGGTGGGACCGGACAACATTTCTCTGTGGGTCCTTAGAGAGGGAGCACAGATGCTTGTGTGAGCAATTGACAACAATTTTCAACACATCCATTGAAACTAGGCAACTACCTGTGGTAAGGAAGACGGCAAATGTAGTCCCCATTTTTAAGAAAGAAGACAGACACGAGGCATTAAGCTATTGGCCATTGTCACTGACGTGTATAGTATGCAAAGTCATGGAGAAGATAACTCAGTAGGAGAGTGGTGGAGCACCTAGAAAGGCAAATGTTCATGAACGACAACCAGCATAACCTTCTGTAGTTTTATGATAAGTTAACAGAGGTAAGACACGAGAGTGAGGAGTGCATAGACTGCATTTTCTTGAACTGCAAGAAGGCCTTCCACACAGTTCCTCACAAGAGATTAGTGCAAAAGCAGATGATCATGCATGTATAACATGAAAAGCACTGCAATGGATAAGAGATTACCTGACAGAGAGGCAACAACGAGTCATGGTTCGTGACGAGGTATTAGAATGGGCGCCTATGACGAGCGGGGTTCCACAAAGGTTAGTCCTAGGACCAGTGCTATTTTTGGTATATGTTAATGGCATGACGGAAGGAATAGACTCAGAAATGTCCCTGTTTGCAGATAATGTGAAATTAATAAGAAGAATTAAATTGATCGTTGGGATCGTTCATTCAGTAGCGCCGCCATTATTGAGGCTGGGTGGTTCACCTGGTAGCACCGCTATTAGTGAGGCTGGATCGTTTACTCAGTACTGCCAGCCATTAGTGAGGCTGGGATCGTTTACCTCTGCTAAACTGCCTCAGTGGTCTAGTCAGATTTACTTTACCACTTCTCTGGATGCCATGAAAGAGGATGAGATGATTGTCACAGCAATTTGAAAAGCTGTACGCATTTCCAGTACAAGTAATCTGACTGGAATTCAGGCTTGTATGTAATGTCATCGAGGGAAAATTATTTTTTTCCAACTCAGACTTCACAATCATATCGTATTTATTTCGTTAGTGACTACTGACGGCTGGAAACATGGCCAACGGAGACCATCAGTCTCTGAAGGGATAAGCATTTAGTGAGTTAGTTGAAGGGCTCATGTCTCTACTTCGGCAGTTCATCTTCTCTGTGTCTGAAATCTACTTCCCAATAATCTGGCTGAGAGCGTTATAAAAAGAGGAGCACAAGATCAAATTATTCGTACTCCTGTCAAGTGACCTTGACTTGGTCAATGTTGACTTGGTCAATGTTGCTCGCGAGAAACTATTTTGGATTAAGCATGATTTACAAATTATCCTAGATTCACTCCAAAATCTTTGATTTAATTCTACAGTGCCAACTAGAATGCCATCATCCAGGGTAGCCTTCCCGTGACTCCCTTCATGACCAGGCAGTCAAGGAGACGCGAGTTGCAGTCATCCCGCCGCGCACCTTCACCAGTCTGTTTCGTGTTCAGCAAACAAAACGTCGCTATAACATGACTGATAAAATGAATAAAGGGGAAGAAAAATGCTGAAAAATTGAGAGTACATATCCCTTCTGACAAAATTTAGAATATTAGTATAGTATCATTAGTAAAGTATTTCCAGAGGATTTTTTCACTTTTGGCTAGTAGTACAGGTGGAGGAGGGGGTGATGTTGTGGTGGTGATGACGGTGGTGGTGGTGATGGTGGTGGTGATGATGGTGGTGGTGATGATGAAGGCAGTGGTGGTGATGATGATTGTGGTGGTATTGGTGGTGATGGTGGTGGTGGTGATGATGGTGGTGGTATTGATGGCGATGGTAGTGGTGGTGGTGATGATGAAGGTTTGTAGTGTGGAGGTGGTGGTGGTGATGGAGGTTGAGTGGTGTGGTATTGGTGGTGATGGTGGTGGTGGTGATAATGAAAGTAATGGTGGAGGTAGTGGTGATGATGGTGGTGGTATTGGTGGTGATGGTAGTGGCGGTGATGAAGGTAATGGTGGAGGTGGTGGTGATGATGATGGTGATATTGGTGGTGATGGTGGTGGTGGTGGTGATGGAATGAGTATGGTGTGATGAGGTGGTGGTGATATGGTATTGGTGGTGATGATGAAGGTAGTGGTTGTGGTGGTGGTGATGATGGTGGTGTGATATGTGGGGTATGTGTGAGGTGGTGTATGGTGGTGATGGTGGGGTGGTGATGATGAGGTGGGATGGGATGGATGGGTATGGTGGTGATGTGGTTGTGTTGGTATGTGTTGATGGTGATGATGGGGTGGTATTGTGTTGGTGTGATGGTTGGTGGAGATGATGTGGTGGTGGTGGTTTGATGATATGATGGTGTTGATGATGGTGGATGGTGGTGGTGGTGATGATGGTGGTGGTGGTAGTGATGCGTATGGTGGTGGTGTGGTGATGGTGGTGGTGATGATGTAGTGGTTGATGATGGTACGTGGTGTGGTGGTGATGATGGTGGTGGTGGTTAGGGATGTGTGAGGTGGTGGATATGATGATGGGGTGTGTAGAGTGGGTGTTAGGGAGGGTGGGGTGATGATGGTGGTGGTGGTGATGATGGTGGTATTGGTGGTAATGATTATGGTGGTGGTAATGATGGTGGTATTGGTGGTGAAGATGGTGGTAAATAACCCTGTAAAGTGAATTATTCTGATAATTCTGCTGGGAATTACTAGCTGTTTCCTGAAATGAAAAGTCAATTATTTTAAAGATGATGATGATGATGATATTAATAATGATAATGATATTAATGATGATAATGGCGATATTAATGATAGTGATATTAATGGTGATAATGATGTTGTTGATGATGATCATGATATTTAATGATGATAGTGATATTAATGATGACAATGATGATATTAATAATGATATCGATGATCATGGTGATATTGAATCCTGATGATGATGATGATGATGATGATGATGATGATTGATAATAATCATTCAGGAGGATCACGATGATGACAAGAATAGAGGAGGAGAATTGTGATAATGATGATTGATAAGGATCGTCATGATTATGATGATTGCTTGATAATGATGATAACATGGAGGACAATGATAACATGGAGGATAATAATAATGATGATAACGATAATGATGGCGATAGTGGGGTGATGCTGATGATGTTACTGATGATGACTGTTGATGATGAAGATAATATATATATATATATAATATATATATATATATATATATATATATATATATATATATATATATATATATATATATATATATATATATATATATATTATATATATATTTATATATATATATATATATATATATATATATATATATATATATATATATATATTATATATATATATATATATAGTATATATATTGATTGTCTATGGCTGACACCTATCAATTTTTGCCTGGTCTGTTAAAAATCACCGAGGAATTACAAGAATCTTTAGAAATGTTTAGGGCTACTCCTTGAGTATCAATTATTTATTTCATTGAAAGTGATATAGAATATTTTAACACTGTGGGAGATAATTTAATGTTTCGCTGAATGCTTTTCTCATATTGCGAGTTAGATTTGGTCTGCGTGTGTAGCACATATAATTGTGAGAGTGATATGTTTTATTATATAGAGTTCTGTATGACTTTTTGCTCCCAGAGCTCTGAAAATTATAAGCTTCTTGCCTTACCCTGATAATCAGTCTCCAGGTGAACATCCAAGGTGAGGGTAGCACTCTCCCTCCCTTCATCACCCTCTGTCTCTCCCTCCCTCCGTCACCCAGTCTGTCTTACTCTCCCTCCCTCCATCACCCTCTGTCTCTCCCTCCCTGCGTCACCCAGTCTGTCTTACTCTCCCTCCCTTCCTCACCCTCTGTCTCTCCCTCCCTCCGTCACCCTCTCTGTCTCACTCTCCCTGTCTTACCATGACAGACAGAGCACGGGGTCAACATCAGCACGTCCAGGGTGAGACTGACAGCCTCACGACGCCACCATGGTCAGCGACTCACCTGTACTGCAGTCAACCCGCTGTTTCCTGCCTCACCTGTGTCTGACACAATCTTGTTGAATGTTACTTGTGAGTATTACTGTTGAATGTTACTTGTGAGTATTACTGTTGAATGTTACTTGTGAGTATTACTGTAGAATGTTACTTGTGAGTATTAATGTTGAACGTTGCTTGTATTACTGTTGAACGTTGCTTGTAGTATTGTTGCTGAATGTTACTTGTGAGTATTATTGCTGACAGTTCCCCGTGAGTATTATTGTTGACAGTTCCCCGTGAGTATTATTGTTGACAGTTCCCCGTGAGTATTATTGTTGACAGTTCCCCGTGAGTATTATTGCTGACAGTTCCCCGTGAGTATTATTGCTGACAGTTCCCCGTGAGTATTATTGTTGACAGTTCCCCGTGAGTATTATTGTTGACAGTTCCCCGTGAGTATTATTGTTGACAGTTCCCCGTGAGTATTATTGCTGACAGTTCCCCGTGAGTATTATTGTTGACAGTTCCCCGTGAGTATTATTGTTGACAGTTCCCCGTGAGTATTATTGCTGACAGTTCCCCGTGAGTATTATTGTTGACAGTTCCCCGTGAGTATTATTGCTGACAGTTCCCCGTGAGTATTATTGTTGACAGTTCCCCGTGAGTATTATTGCTGACAGTTCCCCGTGAGTATTATTGCTGACAGTTCCCCGTGAGTATTTTTGCTGACAGTTCCCCGTGAATATTATTGCTGACAGTTCCCCGTGAGTATTATTGCTGACAGTTCCCCGTGAGTATTATTGTTGACAGTTCCCCGTGAGTATTATTGCTGACAGTTCCCCGTGAGTATTATTGCTGACAGTTCCCCGTGAGTATTATTGCTGACAGTTCCCAGTGAGTATTATTGTTGACAGTTCCCCGTGAGTATTATAGTTGACAGTTCCCCGTGAGTATTATTGCTGACAGTTCCCCGTGAGTATTATTGTTGACAGTTCCCCGTGAGTATTATTGCTGACAGTTCCCCGTGAGTATTATTGCTGACAGTTCCCCGTGAGTATTATTGCTGACAGTTCCCCGTGAGTATTATTGCTGACAGTTCCCCGTGAGTATTATTGCTGACAGTTCCCCGTGAGTATTATTGCTGACAGTTCCCGTGAGTATTATTGTTGACAGTTCCCCGTGAGTATTATTGCTGACAGTTCCCCGTGAGTATTATTGCTGACAGTTCCCGTAAGTATTATTGCTGACAGTTCCCCGTGAGTATTATTGCTGACAGTTCCCCGTGAGTATTATTGCTGACAGTTCCCCGTGAGTATTATTGCTGACAGTTCCCGTGAGTATTATTGCTGACAGTTCCCCGTGAGTATTATTGCTGACAGTTCCCGTGAGTATTATTGCTGACAGTTCCCCGTGAGTATTATTGCTGACAGTTCCCCGTGAGTATTATTGTTGACAGTTCCCCGTGAGTATTATTGCTGACAGTTCTCCGTGAGTATTATTGCTGACAGTTCCCCGTGAGTATTATTGCTGACAGTTCCCCGTGAGTATTATTGCTGACAGTTCCCCGTGAGTATTATTGCTGACAGTTCCCCGTGAGTATTATTGCTGACAGTTCCCCGTGAGTATTATTGCTGACAGTTCCCCCGTGAGTATTATTGCTGACAGTTCCCCGTGAGTATTATTGCTGACAGTTCCCCGTGAGTATTATTGCTGACAGTTCCCCGTGAGTATTATTGCTGACAGTTCCCCGTGAGTATTATTGCTGACAGTTCCCCGTGAGTATTATTGCTGACAGTTCCCCGTGAGTATTATTGTTGACAGTTCCCCGTGAGTATTATTGCTGACGGTTCCCCGTGAGTATTATTGCTGACAGTTCCCCGTGAGTATTATTGCTGACAGTTCCCCGTGAGCATTATTGCTGACAGTTCCCCGTGAGTATTATTGTTGACAGTTCCCGTGAGTATTATTGCTGACGGTTCCCCGTGAGTATTATTGCTGACAGTTCCCCGTGAGTATTATTGCTGACAGTTCCCCGTGAGCATTATTGCTGACAGTTCCCCGTGAGTATTATTGCTGACAGTTCCCCGTGAGTATTATTGCTGACAGTTCCCCGTGAGTATTATTGCTGACAGTTCCCGTGAGTATTATTGCTGACAGTTCCCCGTGAGTATTATTGCTGACAGTTCCCCGTGAGTATTATTGCTGACAGTTCCCCGTGAGTATTATTGCTGACAGTTCCCCGTGAGTATTATTGCTGACAGTTCCCCGTGAGTATTGTTGCTGACATTTCCCCGTGAGTATTATTGCTGACAGTTCCCCGTGAGTATTATTGCTGACAGTTCCCCGTGAGTATTATTGCTGACAGTTCCCCGTGAGTATTATTGCTGACAGTTCCCCGTGAGTATTATTGTTGACAGTTCCCCGTGAGTATTATTGCTGACAGTTCCCCGTGAGTATTATTGCTGACAGTTCCCCGTGAGTATTATTGCTGACAGTTCCCCGTGAGTATTATTGCTGACAGTTCCCCGTGAGTATTATTGCTGACAGTTCCCCGTGAGTATTATTGCTGACAGTTCCCCGTGAGTATTATTGCTGACAGTTCCCCGTGAGTATTATTGTTGACAGTTCCCCGTGAGTATTATTGCTGACAGTTCCCCGTGAGTATTATTGCTGACAGTTCCCGTGAGTATTATTGCTGACAGTTCCCCGTGAGTATTATTGCTGACAGTTCCCCGTGAGTATTATTGTTGACAGTTCCCCGTGAGTATTATTGCTGACAGTTCCCCGTGAGTATTATTGCTGACAGTTCCCCGTGAGTATTATTGCTGACAGTTCCCCGTGAGTATTATTGCTGACAGTTCCCCGTGAGTATTATTGCTGACAGTTCCCCGTGAGTATTATTGCTGACAGTTCCCCGTGAGTATTATTGCTGACAGTTCCCCGTGAGTATTATTGCAACCTAAACGTAACTAAAACTGGCTTATTCTAGTGGCAAATAAATGTGTATGTTATTCTTGTAACTTATTTCTACTATATTTTTACACAAAAAATAAATTCCCAGAAATCATATAATTATGCAGGTAAGGAGGAAAATAGATTCTGGATGATCAAAACCACTGTTGACATGGTCCTCAGACACAGGGATTGATTACAATATTACATTAATGTATATGAAACAGATAACAGATGAATTAGGAATATATGCAATACCTGAGTGCTTCTGGTGCCAGAGACACACGTGTTGCATATGTCTTATTCATCAACGCGTAGTTATTATATACATTAGTTGTAGTATTTATCAAACACCGAACCACCACGGAATCATGGTACACAGGATATCTTCTGCAACTTCTTTGTTAACGTTTAGGTCATCTCATAGACATGACTTACTTCCACTAGTGGGTTACGCTCACCTGTGACTACATGTTCAACTGCTACGTATCTCTACTTCTGGAACTCCATTACTAAATTTGTGGCCAACATTATGGGCCCGATTTGCAAAGTGGATGATAGAGCCTTAGCTTCAAGTTACTGGCCAGGCAAGCTAACTTGAATTATGCGAAAGCTGATGTAACAAACAAATGCCGAGACAATTCGCAGCCACACTGAAAGATATAAGTTGATCAAAGAATCTATGTATGACTTTACACAAGGGCATGCTTGTCTTAAGAGTTAATTAATCTATGGAATTTGAAGTAGTGGACCATGATAAAGAATACGATATTGTGTATACGGATTACAGCTGAACCTTTGATACAGTTCCAAACAAGAGACTGACGAAGAAAGTAGCAGCACATGATGCAGGTGGATAAATTTTTTCCTGGTCAGAGGCATGATTGAGTGATAGGCAACAAACAGCTAGCACTAATGGGGTTAGGTTAGGTAGGTTCGCCAGGAAGCAGAACAAGTGTTTCTTGACGCGGGTTTAGTCATGATGACCCGCAGCTGAAGCTGCGCTTACCACTCCACCACCTTTAAAAATTATAGTTATAATTTTAACCATTAACCACTACTGTGTACCACTATTTTTTTATTAATGAGGGAACTCGTGATGGTGATCCATAAAAGACATGATACTTGTGCAACATTTGGCTTCTCCAGTCTAGTCTCTGTATTTGACTGAAGAAGCCACTAACTGGCGAAATGTTTCCAGAATGAAGATTCCCAAGTGTCTCATTTATCAACTTCTCGATTTTCTAAAATCATGTATACTTAAAAGACATAGATGAAGGAATAAACAGCGACATCTGCAAGTTTGTCGATGACGCTAAAATGGAACCTAGAAAGGTTGATGTTTTGGATGTAGAAGTGACATGCGGGTCTTTTCCTGGGGAAAAGAAATTAAGTATGACAATTAAAAATCAAATGATGTAGATATGGAACAAATTGGGTGATAAAAAGATTTGGAAGTTTTGGTTTTCAGAAATCTAAAGCCAAGGCAACCGTATATAAGTACTCGCAATAAGACTAATAGAACTGTTTCCGTCTAGTCAAAAAGTAAAAATAACAGAAGTAATTAGAATATTCTGCAACTGTCTTTGGTAAGGCCTCGTTTAGAATATGATTCCTAGTTCGGATTTCCATATTACAGAATGTTAATTGTTTAAAAAGACACATTATTACAACCTAGGTTCTCAAAGGCCTGTTATCCTGGGTGTAAGGGGAGCAAAATGAACACAGCAGAGAAACTTTGACTTGTATTATCCTTCACCATGTATAAACAGCAATATGTACACTATATACACTATGTACAACAATAGGTATTATTGCACTACACGGTAATCAAGGCAAAGGAGATGCCAAAAGAACAGCAGACAACCGTCCTTCAACCAGCTCTGGAATGGAAATAACAAGGGTAGAAACGTGCGTGGTAACCACTTCACCTTTACAGTTGCTAGATCCACATTATGACTGAACCCAGACACTGATCTGACGATGGGGCCCCGATCGTCCGACCCTTAGTATCTGGTTCGCTGGTTGAGGAGGAAACTTTTTAAAGAGGGTGTGTACATGCGCTGAATAAAGGTTACATATTCTTTGCATGCCACACACATGAACAAGCAGAACATATTCGGTCTCAGGACCAAAGCGTT